ACAAGATGGAGAGGTGCGAGAACTAAATTGCGCTTCTACCTGGGTCTCAAGGGCTGACGCCCTTATATAGTTGGTCTACCGTGGGTATTGCGAAACGCCCTTGGAATCCTCAGCCCACAATGTAAGGGTCCGTTCCATTTTGAAAGGAGGATAATGTGCCAATTAATAAGGGCTACCATTTCCCTCCGATTTGGGCGGGATGAGGATAAAGCGTATGGTTACGCGGTGTGATCCCGAAAGGTTCGGAGACAACTGGCAAGCTTCTAGAGAGGTAGGTCGCCAGGTCGACGAAAGAGGTAGATCGCTAGGTTGCCAAGTCGGCAATAGATGCAGGTTGCCAGGTCGCCAGGTTGGCGGCAAAGCTAGGTCGGCAACAAAAGTAGGTCACCCAATCAACAGTTGAGGCAGGTCACCAGGTCGGCAGCAAAGGCAAGTCATCTGTTGGGACCCTACTTTGGCTAAGGCAAGTTGTCACCTAGGTGATGCTGGGATGTAGTCCAACTGTTTTGATATGCCATGTGTCATGATGTCAGTGGAGGGCCAAATCTGCCCTCATCAGGGGATACCTTGTGGGATTTGCCTACGTTTCTTCCTTTGGTGACCTATTAGGCCGTAGAAAGAGCAAAGTTTAAGACCTTCATATGCGAAACGAATCCATGTTGGACTTCCTATGTGTTTGAGGAAGAATCCTTAGAAGAGAGGTTTCCTCAGGTCAACCTATACCCACATACGGATCATGCGTCCTTGAGAGGGTTTTCGTGGGGTTATGGGACATGGGTTATCTAACATTCTTCCAGCCATACTAGCGATCAACTTACAGTTCTTCTCTAAGATGTGGCTGCGAGGAATGTTGAAGAGTTGCACCCAAAGATTCTAGTGCCATATTTTCATTTTCTCACCTGAGGATCCGTCTCTCCATTTATCTTGGAGCATCCAGTTTGAACAAATAAACCATTGTCCTCCTTCTAGTATGCGTTGTAATTTGTCTTCATTGCGAAGATAAAGACCCATCCTCCACTATCATTTTCGTCGATTTCTATTCTTGTGCTTAGATTCTATGTGTTCTTTACAAAAGATTTAATATTTTCCTCACTTAGTTGTATTCTTAGGAAGATTCTTCCTCTAAGCATGCGTGCCACCACGTCGAGGGCTTTTGTAGCAGGTTTAATGTGGCACCCAATAGGGTTGCATGCTGCGCCAGTTCCTCACCCAATTCTTTAATTTGCCTATCCATTGAGGTTGATGGAGCTTCCATTTTCTTCATGTTTGCAGGGCTTTGTGTTTCCTCCATTAATGAACCATAAGGTGTTTAAACGAAAATGAAGAGCTTTGGTTGAGGTAGGTTAAGTAGTGATGGGGGTGTTTTGAGTAGTGGAGAAGAAGTGGTTGTTTGCCTTTCTGAGCCGGTGGTTTTGGGACCTTGTGCCTCTTCGTCGCAATAGCACCAGCACACCAGCTAGGATGATGGGACCTAGTGCCTCATCTTACTGAAAACTAGCAGCAAGGTGCGAGATTGGATCAGTAGTGGAGTGTGAAGGATTAGATCAATAGCAAGGTGTGAAGATACTTGAAAATGTTGGTTGCTCACTTGTTTGGATGGATGATTGATTCCCAAGAAGATAATCCAAGACAAGCTACTGGTAGCCAAACTCCTCTCCCAGGCAGGAAGGTTAACCCTCCTAAAAGCAGTCTCTCAAAGCATACCCATGTACACCATGCTACACACTCTCCTACCCTTAACAGTCTACAAAAAGTTGGACCGAATGCAATGAAATTTCTGGTGGCATAGCAATACAGAAAAAACTGGAGGCCACAACATAAAATGGAGCCAGATCTACAAACCCAAGAAGGAGGGGGGGCTCGGCCTAAAGCTCATGGAGCCCTTCAATAAAGCTTTATTCTCCAAACAAATCTGGAAGCTAATAAATTCAGAAGATTCACTATGGGCCAACCAACTCAAGCAAAAATACTAGGAAGGAACCCGCCTACTCAACAGCAAAGCCCGACCAACTGATTCATGGTGGTGGAAATGCTCACTCAAAGTACTAAAAAATCTTAAGACACATGTATGCTGGAAAATCAGTTATGACAGTGTAGTTGATGCCTTAAGGGACCCTTGGATTCCTGGAATCCCAGGCAACATCCCAAGGCCAAGGGTAGATTCTCCTCAAACTAGCCTAAAGGTCAAAGATCTAATGTAGGAAAACTCAGAATGGGACACTAACAAACTACAAGAATGGTTTGAACCAGAGACAATTGAAGCTATCCAAAGCATTCACATCAGTGGCTTGACATCTAAGGATCATCTTCTCTAGCTGGCATCAAACAATGGTACCTTCACAGTCAAATCGGCCTACTCTATCCTCTTGCAAAACATCAGGAGAGAGGAAGTGGCGGAAATCACATGGTCAAAAGTGTGGGCCAACAAAGCCCCACACAAATGCCAACTATTTATCTGGAAATTTCTCCATGAAGCTATAAAAACAAAAACCAAGACATGGGGAGCTCTCAGAAGTAATGATACAAGTTGCACTTTCTATGGTGATGAACCAGAAACACAAAATCATCTCTTCCTCCAATGCCCGTTTGCAAGGGCTGTCTAGTTGCAAGCTCAAGTGTGCCTAAACCCAGAAGCCTTCTTGCAATCAAATTCAAGAGACATCCTAACATGGTGGTCATCCTACAATAAAGATGCCATCAGGAAAGAGGACTACAAACACTATCTGGCTTGTCTCATTTCTATCATCCGAGCCATCTGGGATACTAGAAATGTTGCAATCTACACAAATGACAAACTGGTTCCATCGGCCGTTCTCAGAAGAATTAACCAATACTACCAGCTGCAATGTGCTGATCCATTAGAACAACAAACTCCAGGCTAGGAGCTAAACTTAATTAATCTATTTGATATGCATGAAGATATTATATTGGTTGATGGATCTTGGGATCCAAATACCATGGATGCCTCCACAGGACTTTATTTCATTTCTCATACTCTGAATCACTCTTTTGCAGAAGGACAGCCATGCCTGGCCATTTCCCCAACAATAGTGGAAATGTGGACAATTGCAAGAGGACTCTGATATCTACTGAAGTAGAACATTACAATGGCGACTCTTCTCTCTGATGCCAAAGTTAGTCTTTTATCTCTAAAAGGAACTGAAGCAAACATTAATGGGAATGTCCAGGCTCTTCAGGAACACATCAAACATTTGCTTTCTCTTTTTGTTAATAGACCTGCAGTTACGGAAGCTCACCATATAGCTAGACTAGCTAGAACCCACAGAACTTATGTATGTGCTCACTAGACCTGTTCATGGGTCGGGTGGCCCGATGGGTTTGAACGTGGTTATAGGCCCGCAGGCTTAAATTCGGGCCAAAAAGCCCGGCCCGCAATAAATTCGAGTCGGGTTCGGGTTTTGTCAAAATAGCCCAGCCCGAGCCCGGTCCGACCCGACCTAATATTAGACTTAAAGTGAGTAATGTGATTATGTTCGTTTGAATAAATTTTTTGATTTAAGAATGTAAAACTGTGTTTTAAAATATAAAAGAAAGGGGAAAAAAACCATCTTGTAGGCCCATTGTTCATTTAAATAGAAAAAAAAAACTATCTGAATTTTTAATTCTAATTTGAATAGGGAAAATTGTTTTTTTTTTATTAGTTCGGGCTTCGGGCTCGGGCTCGGGCTTCGGGCTTTTTATTAGGGTCGGGCTTGGGCCCAAGTTATAGGCCCGTTGGTCGGGTCGGGCTCGGGCCTAGCATATTTCCCTTAATGACAAGTGAAAGCCCGGCCCGACCCGGCCCATGAACAGGTCTAGTCCTCACTATCGCCTCTAAACTTGCAACAATCCTTTTGCCAGTTGTAAACAAGGGATAGTTATGTATCCTTAGTGTTTTTGTCGGTTCCTTTTAATAGATTTTCATTTACCAAAAAAAAAACGCTATCACGTTCAATTGATTTGAATTCCGACAAGACATATTTTTGACCAATTTGTATTGATAAACACAAGATCTTTTGGTTTGAACAACAATACTACCAAATACAACCTAAATCATTCTGAAGATGGCATCTTGTCCATATGCAATGTATTACTTCAGTCGTACTATATTCATTCCCAAATTGATTCAAGTTTTTCAAAGGTTCCTAGGCTGAAAAAGTCTTTTTTCATTTGACAATGAAAGATAGGAAACCAAGAAGATTAGAACCCTAGAAAGCTTGTACAATGAAATGCCCGAGAATAAAAAAACTTCAAATGAAGCTTCATCTTTTTTGGTGCATAAAATCTTTCTTTTAGGAACACCCCAAAAGTGAGATTGGATATGTGCCTCACACATGGCGCCTCACATCGACCTCATAGGTATATCCCACTGTGCATTAGGAACATCTCTCCGTACTTATGTGTTATTATTTAACATTATGTTCCAAATGCATGGTGAAATGTGCCTATGAGGTCATTGTGAGGCGCCTTGTATGAGGATCAAATCCCAACCTAGGGAATGGGATCTACTCCTCACACTTGGGTGCCTCACATGCACATCCACTGTGCATAAGGAACATCTCCCGTGAATAATAACTTAAAAGTATGAGAGATGTTCCCAATGCATGATAGGATGTGAGTGTGAGGCGCGTGTGAGACACCCTATGTGAGGAGGAGATCCGGTCTCCCAACCTAGTACTCTAGACTGTTGGAAGATGACTTGGCAAACGGTGGCCTCAATACGGCAAGACAAAATTGTCTTGCCGTTATACAGCGCTCCTCACAACGATCTCACAGGCACATCTCATCATATATTGAGAATATTTTCCGTATTTATGTATTATTATTGATGGGAGATATTCTCACTCCACGGTGGGATGTATCTGTAAGGTCGGTGTGAGGTGCCCTCTGTGAGATTAGATCCCAATTCAGCAAAAGTATGGTTTGTCCTAAAAACGTGGCGAGTTTGAGCCACGTGCAACCTATATACGTGTCTGTAATTGGATGATTTCACTCCATTTCTGTTGTCGAGCAAAGCTTTTCAGACAGTCAGGCTTGTCTGTTCATACAGTAAAGAATCGCATAAACGTATCAAGCGTTAAGTTCAAGCCCGCGACCGGCGGCAAAAGTAATGGCAGCTTCAGCACTTATGCATCTCTTCCTTCTGGTTTGAATCAACAACAGTTATCAGTAAGTTGATTTGCTTTTTCTTCTCTTCCTTAGTTTCTGCTCTTCTCTTCTACGGCATTCCTATGAAATGCACAGAAAATTTTAAGGGTTTCACCCTAGATGTCATATTCCATTCTTTTTTGTTTTTTTTTGTTTTATAAATCTGCTTGATTCTACTGTTTTCTGTCTGTTCATGGGTGGTGGTAATAAAAAATTTTCAGTTTAATCTTTTTCTTTTCCTTGTTGGGTGTCTGTCACTGTTAGAATGGTTGGCATTTGAACTTGGGCTGAAGAACAGGGAATCTCTAATAAATAGATCAGGGGTTTTACGGATTTATCTCAATAGAAATGGCATGGTTCAGAGCTGCTTCAAGTTTGGCAAGGTTAGCTATTAGGAGAAATTTGGTTCAAGCAGGATCTTATGCGAAGAGGTCACGGGTGCTTCCGTCACAGAACCGATATTTTCAATCTACGGTCTGTAAACCGAAGGCGCAAGCTGCACCTGTTCCTCGTCCGGTGCCCCTCTCGAGGTTGACTGATAGCTTTCTTGATGGCACTAGCAGTGTCTACTTGGAAGAGTTGCAGAGGGCTTGGGAAGATGATCCTAACAGTGTGGATGAATCATGGGACAATTTCTTCAGAAACTTTGTCGGCCAGGCTGCTACATCACCTGGAATCTCAGGCCAAACGATCCAAGAGAGCATGCGCTTGTTGTTGCTAGTGAGAGCTTACCAGGTTAATGGCCACATGAAAGCCAAGTTGGATCCTTTGGGGATGGAGGAACGCGAGATCCCTGAGGATTTAGATCCTGCTTTTTATGGGTTCACAGAAGCTGATCTTGACAGGGAATTCTTCCTTGGGGTGTGGAGCATGGCTGGTTTCCTGTCTGAGAACCGTCCAGTGCAAACCCTTCGAGCCATACTGACTCGGCTTGAACAGGCTTACTGTGGGAGCGTTGGTTATGAGTACATGCATATTGCCGATCGTGAAAAGTGTAACTGGTTAAGAGACAAGATTGAGACACCCGCCCCCAATCAATACAACCGGCAGCGCAGAGAGGTAATTCTTGATAGACTTATATGGAGCACTCAGTTTGAGAACTTTTTGGCCACAAAGTGGACAGCTGCAAAAAGGTTTGGTCTTGAAGGTGGAGAAACACTAATTCCTGGTATGAAGGAGATGTTTGACCGAGCAGCAGATCTTGGGGTTGAGAACATTGTTATAGGAATGTCTCATAGAGGAAGATTGAATGTACTGGGTAATGTGGTTCGGAAACCACTTGCTCAGATTTTCAGTGAGTTCAGTGGTGGTACAAAGCCTGTTGATGAGGTTGGTCTATATACAGGAACCGGTGATGTCAAGTATCACTTAGGTACTTCTTATGATCGGCCAACAAGGGGTGGAAAGAGAATCCATCTATCTTTGGTTGCTAATCCTAGTCATTTGGAAGCTGTTGATCCAGTTGTGATGGGAAAAACTCGAGCGAAACAGTTTTACTCTAATGATGTTGAGAGGACAAAGAATCTTGGGGTGTTAATTCATGGGGATGGGAGCTTTGCGGGGCAGGGTGTTGTTTATGAAATCCTGCATCTTAGTGCTCTTCCAAACTACACAACTGGTGGCACCATCCACATTGTGGTGAACAATCAAGTGGCTTTCACAACTGATCCTAGATCTGGTAGATCTTCACAGTATTGTACTGATGTTGCTAAAGCCTTGAATGCTCCTATTTTTCATGTAAATGGTGATGACATGGAAGCAGTGGTTCATGTTTTTGAGCTTGCAGCAGAGTGGCGCCAGACATTCCACTCTGATGTAGTGGTGGATATAGTGTGTTATCGTCGGTTTGGGCACAATGAGATTGATGAGCCATCTTTCACACAACCTAAAATGTATCAAGTAAGATCTTCCATCTTTTCTATATATTTTGTCACCTTTTGTTGTTTGAAGATACAAGGCTTACATCTTTTAACCTGAACACCTTATGACAGTTTTCTTCTCATTTCTTTTCAAACTTATGTGTGTGTACAATGATGCCATCCTTATGTCAGCAGTGAAACCTATCCTTAAGCAGTGAAGCTAAAAGCATTGGATTAAGACTTTGATTGCAAGAGATTGATTGTATATGTTGAGGAATCATTGATGGGATGGTAGCCCCTACAAATTGAGGCAGAAGATTCCTATTGTTTATATGTCTATCTACAATGATAACACGAGGCAAAATATATTCTATCATTCACCTTGCTAACATGTTCGATCAAACTGCTTTATCCTTTGAACAATGGCATCCACCACCCCTCCAAAGGATGATGCTGTCATAACTCTTAGGGGAGTGTTGGGAGGGGGTTTAATCATTCCTGGTGTCTGTATAATTCAGTTCATTTATTATATACATATGTCACTGTAAGGTATTTCTATAAACAATCTAATGCTTCTGGTGCATTTGGGCACTGACAGATCATTCGAAACCACCCGTCTGCCTTAGAAATTTACCAGAAGAAACTTTTAGAGTCTGGGCAAGTCACACAAGAAGAGATTGATAAGGTAAACAACAAGGTTAGCTCCATTCTCAATGAAGAATATCTAAACAGCAAAGACTATGTTCCAAAAAGAAGGGATTGGCTTTCAGCTTACTGGTCTGGATTTAAATCTCCTGAACAGCTTTCTCGTATCCGAAACACAGGGTATGTTTGTTTTATTTGCTGTCTTTCTCTTTATTTTGTACTTGAGTATAACTTCTGAATTTATTTCTACTGAAAATTTTGTCTGGTTGTACAGGGTTAAACCTGAGATATTGAAGAATGTTGGCAAGGCAATAACTACATTTCCTGAAAATTTCAAGCCTCACAGAGCAGTAAAGAAGATTTTTGAGCAACGTGCTCAGATGATTGAAACAGGGGAAGGTATTGACTGGGCAGTTGGGGAAGCACTTGCTTTTGCTACATTGCTAGTCGAAGGTAACCATGTTAGGCTGAGTGGTCAGGATGTTGAAAGAGGTACATTTAGTCATCGACATGCAGTAGTCCATGACCAGGAAACAGGGGAGAAGTACTGTCCTTTGGACCATGTTCTTATAAATCAAAATGAGGAGCTATTCACTGTTAGCAACAGGTGCAGCCTGCTTTCTGTTTCTCACTTTTTATCTGTTGGCATATCTGCAATTCATCACTTACTACTTTCCTTTCTTTTGTGGTTCAATACTATATTTTTAACTACTCCGTTGGAGAATATGATGAGCTATTTCTCAATAGTATGCTAATATATATGAATAGCAGCTCTTGTTTGGGAGAACCATATATGAAAAATGTCTTTTGGTGTGATGTTTCTGTGATAAATGTTTCAAATTCTTCTTGAAAATTTAGACTGTTTATTCTCTATTTTTGTGCATAATTGAGTTCAAGTAGACTTACTATGGGTGCTCATCCAACGTACTTGGATCTCTATTCTCTTTCAACCTAAGAATCCCATCAAAGCTTATAATTTTGTGGAAATCTGCTCTTGTAGACATTATGTTCTACGCTGTTTCATGCCTTATTGATTTGTTTGCCAACTTCATACACCATAATCATGTCTACAAGGTCGTAATCATCAATGTGCTGCACATGTTTTGGCCAGAACTACTTTTTGTGATGATCCATCTGGACTCCCATGCCTAAAATCACTGCTACCATAATATGAAGTGGTTGATTTGATTGTCAATCCTTATTTTGATCTATGAAATCATTTTTCCAACAAAACCCACTAATGGATTAGATGGTTATCTCCGATCTGCATGCATAGAGCATTTTATATATGTATGTTTCTGAATTTTTTGCAGCCAACCGGAAACAACCCCCCTGCCCCCTAAAAAGGGAAAAAGAAAAGAAAGTGCAAGTCTATGAAAGGAGAGCCAAGAGGACCTAGCATTTCTCTTGGAGGATCTCATCATCTCAAAAGCTGATTAGCTGATTATACTTATATTTGGTTGGAGGTTTAAAATATTTCATAGACTCATCCTGGAGTTCATTCATGAATTTTCTTCATCTAGTATTTTATTTTAAATTTTCTTTTTATTAATAGCAAGGAGAAACTTCATTAATAAGGAGAGTACAAATAACCTGGCCACTAAACATGTGAAGAGCTTGTCAATCTTTCAGTTTGTGAGAGAACACCAAAGGTTTCAGGGGTGTCTAATCTGATAATCGACCCCCACACCCAATGAGTCATATATATATTAATTAATTATGTACAATTACAAAGGATCCCTTAGAGGGCTGAAAGATAAAAGGAAGAAAATAAGACTACAATACAATAGGGACCATAGTATTATAGTACATCAAGTGTCTCTACACTCCCTCTCAAACTGATGCTGAGACATAAGCATCAATTTGCCCACAAGATATAGATTTCTAGATCTCGTTATATGCTTAGTAAGTATATCAACAATTTGCAAATCGGAGGCTATATGTGAAAGAGAGATGGAGCTTGCAAGAAATAGATCCTTAATAAAGTGACAGTCCACCTCAATGTGCTTAGTTCTCTCATGGAACACTGGATTATATGCAATCTTGATGGCACTAGTGTTATCAGCATAGAGAGGAATAGGTGTAGGGAGGTGAACACCAAGATCATCATGGAGAGATTGAAGCCAAACAATCCCATTGCACACAGATGACATAGCCATATATTTAGCTTCTGTAAATAACTTAGAAACTGTTTGTTGTTTCTTGCATTTCCAAGAGATGAGGGAGTGGCCCAAAAAGACACACCACCTCGTAGTAGACCTTTTGGTGTCGGGGCAGCCTACCCAATCTGCATCAGCATAAGCCCTCAACTGAATTTGAGAGGAGGAAAAAAATAGTCCTTGAGATAAAGTGCCATGAACATAGCGAATAATCCGATGGACAACAGTCATGTGGGGTTGACGAGGGGCTGAAACAAACTGACTAACTACATAAACTGCATGAGAGATGTTCGGACCAGTCATAGTGAGATAGATGAGGGACCCGACAAATTGTTGATGTAGAGTAGCATTAGGAAGCAAGGTCCCATCAGATTTAGACAATTTAACATTGAGCTGTAGGGATGTATCATCCTGTTTGGTGTTCGTAAGACCAGCAAGCTTAACAAGGTCAGAGGCATATTTGTGCTGACAAACAAAGTAACCTCGATCACTATGTTGTTCTTCTAATCCCAAGAAATAAGAGAACTCCCAAGTCTTTCATATGAAAGGACTTGTGGAGAAGAGACTTGAGTTCCTTCTGTGTTGCTGATAAAAAAAAGGGTAAATTACAAAGACCCCCTCGTACTATGGGGTCAGTGGAAAAGAGCCCCCTGTACTTTAATTTGCAACAAAGACGCCCCTATACTTTTACTTTGTGACAAATACCCCCTTAGCCGTTAAGTTAGATGATGGAAGGTGTTAAATTACCAAACTACCCCACTAAACTTTTTCTATTTTCTTTTTTTACCATTTTTTCTTAAAACCTAATTACCCAAAACACATTTGATCGTCACCAGAAAAGGAAAAAAAGAATCTAACTTTAAGACCGTTGATAGGAACAAAAGAGAATCCATGATGTATCTTTAATCTTTCCATATTCTCTAGCACAGGAAGCAATACTCCCTCTCTTCCTCTCTCTCTCTCTCTATAGTATTGTTCTTTTTGTATCAGAACACATCTCCAAATTCTCATTTTCTTCATTTGGGTGCTTTCTGTAATGAGAGATAGCTTCTTGTGTTAGCAAATATGCCATACAAGTGAACGACTCTTCTTGCGGAGGTAGTTCAATGCAGGGTTGTCGTTCTCTAGTATCATTGATCCCTTTGATCCAAAATGCAGATATAGTCACTTGTATTGACAAGAAGTTCAAATCGGGTATCTTGCCAGCTGTCCAGTTCTCTCTAGTATCACGAATAGAACATTTCTCAGGCAACCCACTGTATTCGACAAAGAGCAATTCTACAACAGTGAGATGTCTCACGACATTTCGATTGGATGTAGCGGAGAAGAGGGGTTGAAGCATCTGGTGCTATTGGCTTGTATCGGTAAGAAGAAGGTCATTCGAGTGAAGAGGTTGCAATGGAATTTCAGGGGAAACCAGACCATTCTTAAGCATAATTCTTAAGCATGTGCATGTGTGTTTCTTAAGCATAATTCTTTGTTGAGATTATGCGTGTGGCTTTTGTATTACTAGTTTAGATTAAGCGTGTGGCTTCTATGTTTTGGTTGATTTCTAGTCATTTGCATCTCAAATTTAATTAGTGTTTTTCAAAACTATTGAAGGGCGGAAAGAGCATAACTGGACGTCAATTCATGATAAGTTTAAGCCCAGAAGTCCAATATCAGTAGTAGGGAATACTGACTTCTAACTTTTTTTGTTGCAGAATTTGGAGCGCATGATTATTTTTGATGTCGTCAAAGGCATCAATGCAGAGTCACTTCTTGGATCCTACGTGTTGTCCTCTTTAGATTCTCAATACGTTTATGAACCGGGTTCCTAATGGTTCTTGCTTTACGTTTTACGGTTTTAGTGTGATGATGGGTATTTATGGCGGTTTGTCGAAGATATCTTTCTCACCATTCAAATAAATAAGAAAAGGGTAATTTGGGGATTTAAAAAAATAAAATAGTTAAATAAAAATATTTTTTAAAGATAACTGACGGAACACTAACGGAGGGGGTCTTTGTCTAACAGCTAAAGTTTAAGGGGGTCTTTGTTGCAAATTAAAGTACAGGGGAGTCTTTGTCACTAACCCCATAGTATAGGGGGTGTCTTTGTAATTTACCCTAAAAAAAAGAGACTTGAGTTCCTGAATTCCATTCTCATCATCCCCAATCAACAACATATCTACATACAACAAAAGGATTGTAATGACTTGAGATCTTTGACAAACAAATAGTGAGTGATCAGATAAAGATCCCAAAACTTCTCAAACCAGGCCCAAGGAGGGATCACTATTGTGTCTAGGAGGAGGCTTTAGCCGGGAAACAAAGGAGGGATCACTATTGTATCTAGGAGGAGGCTTCATCTATACCGTCTCCTTTATGTCACCATGAAGAAAGGCATTCTTCACATCTAGCTGATAAATGGCCCATGAATGCACATCAAATAGTGCAAGGAGGATATAGATTGTAGTAATCTTTGGCAACTGGAGCAAATGTCTCCTCATAGTTGATGCAATATTCTTGGGTGTAACCCTAAGCAACAAGACGACTTCCAATGAACCATAAGACTTCAACTTGACAGTGTAAACCCAATGTCTAAAGCATTTGATGGAGGAACCACCAAATCCCAAGTGTCATTCTCATGCAAGGCATGAATTCCTATATCCATGGCTTCTCTCCAATGAGGATTGGTAATGGCATGCTAATATGAGTGGGGAATATCTGTGATAGATAACACAACGGACAAGGAACTATGGTTTGAAGGAAAACCATAGCGATCAGGAGGTCTGGAAATATGAGAGGAATGACGAAGAGTTGTGGTAGGCATAGAAACAGAATCTGAAGGAACATCACTTACAAGAGCATCAGTTGAGGGATGATCTAGGCCGGGAGGAAGTAGAGTTGTAGGTGTAGGATCTGGGGCATGTAACCTTTTGTGATAGAAGACAAGAAAATCTTTCACACTAGCTGGAGGAGAGACATCCTGTGAGTCAAAATTCTACAAAATAGAGATAGATGGAGTAGATAGTCTAGCAACAACAACAAAATAGGAGATGGCCTTTAGAATATTACTTTTAAGAATGTAGCTCTTCTAGGTAAGTGGTTGTGGAGATGGCCTTTAGAGAGGGAGAGGTTATGGCATAAAGTGGTGGCAAGTATCCATGGCTATTCCGGAAATGGTTGGGATGCAGGGGTATCCAGACGAGCAACTCTTGCAACACCTTGGAAGGCAATTCATTGCATCCTTCCACAGTTCCTACGCTTTGTAAAGTATGATGCTTGCTCTGGAACTCGTGCTCTTTTCTGGGAAGACACTTGGGTGGGAAATTTGCCCCTTAAGGATATGTTCCCTTCTCTCTTCTCTCTTCTCTATTTCCCTTTATAAAAAAGAACCTGTGTCTTCCTTTCTTTTGTTCCCGTATATGCCTTTGTCGACAAATTGGGACCTTGGATTTCGTAGAGG